GAGTGAAAGCCAACGACCGACAAAGTGGCTCCCGTTTTGCGTTTCATGACGGATTTCTCTGCTTTTTTCGCCAGTGGTGTGCCATAGAGCACCCCGGGTCTCTTTTAAACGCTCTTAGAATCTATCGTCATTGCTGCCTTTAATTGCACAAACATTTTATTATATGTTTTGATTTAGATGTATTTGTGAACCAGGATTCAAACCACCGTATTGTGAAGCGCCAGCCGATGCATGCTTCAATCATCTGTGCATTAATGGAGCGCAATGCGTCGCTAAGTCACCTTTCAATTACGAGTATGTCACTTGTTTTACGAATAATGTAAATGATGAGGCTTTTGATTATTTTTTGATTTTATGAATGACATCATTTGTACATGAATGACTTTCATATCGACTGGACCAGTGAATGTGAATGTACTCTCCGAGGCAGACCAATCATTCTTGATGCTTTACGCACTCAACCTACTTTTAGAATTGCACACGCTCCTGAACCGGTAGTCGATTTATATTGTACAATACCCGCGAGGATCATTCAGTGTGCCTGAAATTGAACTACAGGATGGGCTAAAATTAAAAGGGCACGCGCATACGCGCGCTCGATTTTATCCACTTTTTCAAGTCGCTCCATTTTCATCTTTTTCTGTGCACTATGTGAAAGGGTACAATGTCTTCTTCCTAATGAAACCAAATTTCATGCAGTTCTCAAAACTAGTGAAATAACTACATCACTTTACGTCAGTCCTCAAATTGAACTCACTAGGGGCTCTGGCACGTTACATCTAGCGGCAGTCTAACGTATCAGGGAAGCTCTTATGAGCAACAGTTCAACTCTTCAATAAGTTTGGAACCACCACAGATGGAAAATTCGGGACTCGAAAGTTACAGTTACCACCAGGATAATTATCAGATGCAGAATGCTCTCCTTGTCAACTTTCTTACTCCCAAAATGAAAAACAATGTGATGGAAATCAATAAAAAAATCCTGATGGAAATAATCAATAATGATAATTATAATAATAACCATTCTCAAGGTGTGAAAACGCAATCCATAATATCAGGTCGGTCAAAAAGTATCCACCGTTTTGAGCCCCTAACTTTGAAGCACCACAACTTTGCTGAAACACAATCTTTTTGTTCGAAATAAAAACTGCTATGTCCAGCAGATTGTTCTCAATCAGACCCATGCCAAAAACTTCCTTCACAACAGTACTTTAATTATTGTAGGCCAAAATCTGCAGGAAGACGCATTCGACATACCCCACTTCTCAACGCAATTTCTCCCCTAGTCAAGAATTAAATGCGGGGAACTAGCGGTCCGTCAGAGATATACCTAGTCTATATGGAGGATGGCAGAAAAGCTTTAAATCATTTTTGAATGTATACACAGCGTATTTTACGTTGGATGTCTGGTCATATTGCGGTGAAGGATCGACCTCAGTTGTTCCTTGAAGCAGCCTATCATCATCGTAGTTTCTTACGTTTACAGGTTCTTTTCTTCACGGTAGGACTCCACCGTCATCGGATGACTCGATTCTCGAATCTTGCAATGAGCTGGGACCTCAGAATTTGAGGGAGTTCCTTGCTGTAGGAGCTTTTCGTCTTGCAAACGTTCCAAGGCAGCTTAATTTCGTCCACTTATTTAGTAACCCTTTCACTGTTAGCGTGCAGAAGCATAGTCTTACCCCACACTATTACCCATCTTGAAAACTGTTCCTTACTGTTGCAAGGAAGAGTCCAAGCACACACCTCCACGCGCGTCGCAACATTCAAGCTGCCAGCACGGGTTACTCATGAATAGATTGACGAGACACTGTTTCCTGCTTTCTCACAGCGTGCACCGGCTGAACTCGGTGCCTGCAGAGACCCACCCTCTGATGCCACACCAGTAGCTGAGCACCCGTCATAAGCTCCCTTCATTTCATTTGTGCAGTCCCGTACATTCAGGCGTTACCTACACTACGCGCATCATTTCGAGCTTTTTTTCTCCATGCTCGTGTCGGACGAGCTAATCTCGCGCTATGCGTTTCCTAGTTCTAAATGCAGTCGCAGTAACTAGAGCTGGCTCTCGCAAACTCATTGTGCAAGTTTGACGACATGAATACGTCAAACAGTCCCAAATCCCGTCAGCTGTAACCGAAAAGATGTAAAAACGCAGAAATTCAAATACTGGAAAGTTGTATGGGTATGAAAGGGCTGATCTTCCTCCACAAGATGACAATCAAATTGTTTGAATAGTTACGAAAGAAACTACTAAAAACATGCAGAGGAACACTAGTGCAAAACGGTGGATATTTCGACCGACCTAATATTTATGGGTAGTTGGAACTCCCCATTGGTGTTCTTGCCATTCATGCACGCATTAGGTTTCCCATTGGTTCAGTCTAATGACCTTGCCGTAGTGACTAACTCGAGCCTCATTTGCCATCACAATTAAACACCAACGTGATCTTGTTCAATCGTTCATGCCAGGGTGGGTTATCTCTTTTCAGTTGCAAATGTATACCGGGAACTTCAGGGACGCTTTGCGAATACGTCTATGACTACTGCGAAGCAATTGGTGAGCTGCTAATGTAACACAATATTCATTCTTGAACTGAGCGACAGCGGAACTGGCTGTTTGCCTTGAACTCAGTCTAAAGGGAATGAGTGGAACCCTTCTAATTTTTCAATTACTTGTTGTATTAAACTGAATGCAATCAAAATCACTTTTTGATATCATCGTTTTTCACCGCGATCAAACGGAAGGGCTGTCGCGTCCATCCATTTGATCACGCCGCCCATCTGACGGTAGTAATCTACCCTGAATGGTTGCTAAAAATCCCAGTCACATGCCTTTGAAACAGAAGAGCCATTCTGAATTGGAAGTAACCAATTTGAACACAACTCGCGACATCTCAGCAAACCACTTCGTCCGCCCAACTAACCGAACCCAGCCTCGCGCAGCCTGAACCGCTACTGTTCCACTGCACACGATGTCATCCACCCTACGGCATGAAAGTTGCCAGAGTAACGAACTAGAATACGAAGTTCAAACTTTTAGACTTATTTATCATGATAAACGCGACGGTCCACCAGCCAACGAAAGACCGCAGGCACTCCACTGAACGAATCAAATGCAAGTTGCCTCCCCTTTTCCGTTTCACCGCCGTCTTATTACCCCTCACCGGCCGTTTGAAGTTGGCCATCCCCAAAAAGTCCCGAAAGACTTTTTGCTGCGCGTAACGGGCGTCACCTGCGTCTCTCCAAACACATTGTACTTCGCCCCTCCGCGTCCCGTTTTCTGTCAGCGAGCCTTTCCTGCGCGTTTTACGCTGCGCGTAACAAGGAAGCCACTCTGCCAAGGAGACCTGCAGCTCACCTGGGAAGCTTTCTTCAGAGTTTCATAGAAAGGTCCTCTCGGTGCCAATACCATATACGATTTCCAAAACCATCGGAAAACTTGCACCTGCAACGTTACTTGCTCGTCGCAACTGCCCGTTAAGTGCATGTTTGGCTAGATTACTACCGTCCCTGAATTATTATTACCTTTTTAGTACATCAATGTGTGATCAACCTTCCAAGCTTTATCAATTTGTCTAAGGTTAGGGTTGAAGCTAATTTTACGAGCACTGCATCATTTGCGCGACAGACTCCCACTATCAAGCTCGCGGATCCAGGCGCAATTTGTTACAGTTGTGATCGTAGTGATTAAGGTAACAGAGTTTGTATTCACGGTGATTGCTACGAGGACCCGACCTCTACGCGACAATTCTCATGCAAATGCCGATTCATGTACTACGGCCGCAACTGCGATAGACAGTGGAGCATCGCTGAGGCAAACCTGCAGTGGGTAATGGTGAGTCACTCCAAAGGTAATCTCAGAGACACAAACAGAAAAGGCCACTAAACCAGTATCGTCTGTATACGGTTAAGTTCGACTAGACGTGCCCTTCTCGCTTTCTATAAGCGCCAATAAGAGTACATCCGGGTTTTCTAATCGGAGCACATGTTGTGATCAACGGTTAACGCATCTATTTGATTAGCCAATTTGCATCAGCTGTCTATTGCTGATTGAGTGATTTGAGTCACGCGACGGAAGCGTCCCCATTCATTTACGGCGCCTGTCTAAGCAGACCATAGGGTCCAGTCCGATATGCTCAAGCGCTCCATAAGAAAGAGTGGACAGAGTTTGGCAAAAATTGTTATAGTTTTAGAATTTTACCAATTGTAATAGTATGGTATTTGATATTATTAAAAATTCAAGGGCCTGAATTTTTTTCTCTCATCGGTAAGGAGCTGTAGATGATTAGTGAGTATGGCCCACATCCATTTTTCACATAAAATCAATTCAAATAATTCAAAAAGAACCGGGTGAAGAAAGAATCAGATATGAGTAAAAAAAACTGCTTCCCGCTTCTTTGCTATTGAAGAGGACGCTTTATCTTGGTCTCTGTCAACGTTTTCTTCCCTTTTGTTCATTTACTAGCTTTACACTCTCAACTCCATTGTCACTTACAAGAGCAATAAAAATCATTTCGATCCCCGAATTGGGTGAGCACTTCATCTTAGACAGTAACTCTCTGCGCTTATGGTTAGGTTTGAAGTCCCCCCCCCCCAACAATCCCGACTGTACTTGTTGTTATTGTTTTCCATCCGTTAAGGGCGGGATTCACGATGAAAAGGCAGCCTACAAGAAATGAATGTGAGCATTTTCTGTGATGCAAGGATGAAAAAAAAACAAGGAAAACAAACCATAGCGCAAAAAATGAAACCCTCTTTGGCCCATGGATTTGAGCATAAGGCGTGTCTCACCTCTGAGTGCCGGCCTCATCAGTGCTAAAGCTCTCCCTACTAGAGCTAGATTAGGGCCAGACGGCTAGGGGTGGGGGACAGTGGGGACAGCGGCGCGGGGCGGTCATGCAAGATCGCCGAGGCTATCCTTCTCAGCGAATTGCGTGTCGGTCCGTACACTCAACTCCTGTCCTTTCACAAGGCAGGCTTTCCCTTGCTTTACCCCACCTCATCGTGGAATCCTCCTTTACCTACCGTAAGTTTTGGCTGCTCCACGGTCCCAGTAACACTCTCAGATCTGTGGAATGTAATCAGTGCCACCCTGAGCCAACGGCTGTCTCCAAATACTATGACACTTCCGGATACCCGGATCTCTGATCCGCTATCATGAGCAGTTGCGTCCTTGATCATTGATGGCAGTCAGGCTTCAGTTGTGCCTCTCACATATGTTGCTCGGGGGATTCCAAGCATTTTTCAGTCTTTGGAGTCTTGAAAAGTGCTAACTACATGTAATTTTCTCTATTTCTGTTCACCTGGTTGATAATCAAATCGACAGCCAGGTAACGTGTAATAACCAGATCCACCCCACGCATTGCGGTCTTGCAAAGCGGGTCCTCTTCTACTGATGATGTGTCTAGAAACGCCACCTTTCATGACCAACTTCACCATATGCGAAAAATATTCCATAGCACCGTTATTGAATCATTTAGAATTGTGCTTGACTGAAGTGATTACGAAGGATAGTGTACTGTATCGAATAAATATAGTTCAGTGAGCAAAAGCACGATATTGACTAACTGAGCATTGAAGGCACAATACAAGGTTAGTGAGAATTGACAGCTTCTTGGCGTGAGAACGGTGGAGGGAGCGGTAAGCATATGTATCGTGCCGACATCGCGGTACAAAAGGCAAAGGTACTAAGGCACTATTAGTCGATCCAGCACCTCCGGATTCCACGTTCCACGAAGTGACCAAGTCATTATGTTTGGCTAGTATCCAGCTCTCTTGTCACCAGTTCTTTTTTCTCTTCGAGGCGCAAGCTATCCCTTACCTCATCTATCAGAGACCTCCATACGATTTCTTTTCCTTTCTCTTTCACTACCACTCCATTTTGCACCGTTGTTTTCATTTCGAGCTAAACAGCTATACAAGCTTGAAGGTGTACCTTCGTGCTGCCTACCTTTACGCTAAAACACTTGTTCATTTATGTGGTATACAGGCTAAATTTATAACGCAGCTCATCGCTAACACTGCGTTCCCTTATTTATGCCAAAGGCTATTCCTCTTTTCTTTTTTATTTTCATTTCCAATTTATTTTCAGGAAAACTCCAACATCGTATTTCCTGCTTTTTCTGTTCTGTGCACTTTTATGATGTTGTTTGTGGTCTACGTCGCCTGTCTAAACAGAACGTGAGTTCAGAGGTTTTTTGCGATTTCCCCTGCAAATTGGTTCTTTTGATTTGAATACCGTAGCGCACCTGGGATTGGCAGCGTATGGCGGAACGAAATCCTCTAAGAGGTGTCGAAAGCCTCAAACTGACTCAGGAATCCTCGAATTTCCTTAAACCTGTCCTTGATACTTCGTTGCCTTCCTCATTCTTCCAAGTACAGGTTTCTGGAGGTAGCTACTAGTAAATAGTGTACCATCCTGAACGAAATCAGTTAAAGTCCGCTCTTTTAAGAGATCCAAGGTCGGTCAGATCGAGTTGCCAATTACCATCAGGCATTTTCGGAAGGGTTTGCTCAGAGTATAGGTGAGTAGTACCAAGAGCACCAAGGGAACTGTGTAGCTAATGCAAGCTTCAAAACGACTGAGCCGTCGGTACCTAGCAAAGCAGGCCTAAGAAATGAAAAATTGAATTGATGCTTAATGCTGAAAGGCTTTTTCTTTGTATGGCGAACCACAAGACACTGAGATTAGAGTTACCAAAAGCCAGGAAGATGCAAAAGAAGTAGAGACAAGAGAGTACGAAGAAAAAGGATTTGGTTCGTGACCTGGTTTCTGGATGGGACTGCTGCTAAGTGCTTACCGTGAGCAACCTTGTACTTATAGATCATACCGGCTCTGCTTGACATCATGGTGCCAATATGGCTAAGTTAGTACATCCTATGTGGTTGTGAACCGCTTTATCGTTATCTTTAGAAATGGTAATAGTGATTATAACTGCGATAACTATGGCCCCTATTCTAGTTGTGAAGCTTCACATCTTTCAAACTGCCCGCATCTCATATAAATTTTTGAAATCTTATTTGGTGGTTAAAGGTAGGGATCGAGAATAAGTTGGTAGGTAATCGCGCACAACTGTGAAGGTAGGCGAACGAAGTGGAGGCAAAGTTCTTACTCTTGCCCTTGTTGATGAAATATGAGAGGCAGGTAGTTTTTAAATGTACAGTTTCTTCGAATACAAAAGAAGAAAGTTATGCGGTCTAATCGAGTTGTTTGCAGCAGCCGATCAGATGAGAGAGACGACGATCATGAAGGTCCTGATAGCATTCGACTACGAAAAATCAAGGTGGCATTCGAGCAGAAGAAAAACATCATCCGACGGAAGGTCAGGATTCTTTGCATTTCTGCTTCGAGTTTGTGCCGCTCAGAAGTAGCTATTACCCCACGTTGAGCGATTCCTGAACAAACAGGTCGAAGCAATGTGAAAGTCCGATCTGAATTTGTACGGCCGAGGGGGCGGCCATGGTAGTACGACACCTTCTACAAGGTATGGTAAAATCACTGGTGCACCAATGTTTTGTTGGCATTTCGAGAGTAACTTTCAGAAATCAATTATAATCACAAACGTTATTTTTGAAAAAGATCAAAACAAATCAGTGGTTTTCAAAATGATCGTTCCTGGCCTTAATCCAAATCTTTCATACCTTTGGCGGACGAATTTGCATGACGGCACGCACATTTTTCATCATTCCAATTGCCCAGAATTGCAAAAGCCGCCTGGTATATTAGCAAGAGATATACGAAATTTGAGTATTTGATAGCGAGCCAAAACTTTTCACTCTCCGGAGCAGCCGCACTCAAAAATGTAATTCGAGTCTGATCCGTGGGGGAACAGGGGAGCCATCCATCGTTTCTGATCAAGTTGGGGATCTGCTCGAAACATTGCCCCTGGACTACTTCCGTCCCTGAATCAAGACACTTGCTGAACTCATTCGTGGTCCTCTTTAAATTACACGCTCATGGTTTCGAGCAAATACCGTAATCTAACGCCGTTTGAACAATGTCCGCAAATCTAAGAAATGGATGAGAATGTTTTCGCATAGCACTCGTACGAGTTTGATGGTTATACTAAACGAGCTTTCTACTCACTTTGAAATCAATACATACCAGGAGCAGTATGTTAGAGCAAAATATAGTTAGAGATTGAAACGGGAATTTTTCAATAAGAATTCCAAGAATCCCATATCAGCTATGTCACCAGATAAATTTCTGCCCACATGAAGCGCTCCGTTCAACTTCCCTTCTTTTTTTGATGCACGACCCCACCTGACTTTATGCGTGAACCGCTGTCGGTGAACACTTAAGATCAATCTGGCAAAACTCCATATTCTGGCTCCAAATATCAGTAGTGGGAGGCGGAGATGCGATGGAGAAGAGAGGGGTAGTTTTACGTCTTACTTCCACTTCTTTGTTATTCCTAATCACCCTGTGGCATCGCGTGAAATAGCCTTAGAGCGTGTTGTTTGCTAAAGCAGAAGTTGAAATCGCACTCAATTTAAACGGCTATACAATTCCTTGAAAATGGACAAATCAGAAGCAGAAATAAGGCCCTGAGATTTTCTTAAAAGTGGCTAACTTGTACTAAGCTCATGCGAAGTAAGGAGAAATGACTCCTTTCAAATTGTAGAAGAAATTTTTCAAAGCATGCTGGTTTTTTTATAATTTCAAAGCTATAACTTTCTTTAGAAGCAACCACTGGCCAGATTGTCGCTCCTTGAAGGGCGCTGAAAGCGCATGGTAAAGTTGGTGTATCAAAAGTGACTCTATTGTAGGCTTCTGCTCAAGCATGGGTCTTTTTCGTAAAGCTATTGCGTTCAACGATCGTGCCCATCCCCGAATAATCTTGTGAGATGATTAAAAAATTGATTTCAATCAAGTATATTTCCTCGAATGGGGAAATACCAAGGCGGGGGAAGACATTTTGCCAGGTCGCATTTCAGCCTTTTTTCTTCGCAGAGATTGCCGTCGTTGACGGAAGTTCCTCAGCAAAATATTTCCTAAACGCCTTTCTAAAAGTATACGCAGGTTCTCCTTTCACTGCCCTCACCGTACCTTACATCGATGACATGTATCAATCACCGATCGTAAGAGCAGAAGAGCCTACAAGTAAAGCTTCGCCTGAAGGTTGCTTAAATTTCTTTGATCGATGTCAACGAGACTATGGGTTTCCGGGGACAATTAGTTCTAATACGTAAACACTGGCGGAAACCCGTCGTAATGGATACACGAATCAGTGAGAACCCCATTGAGCTCGACCAGGAGCACCATGTTTCCGGGGCAAACTTTTCTGATGCCGTCCACGTAGATGGCCACTATGAAGATTTTCTTATGAAATGAAATGCGCTCTTCAATTCTAAGTTGGGAGCACACGCTTTGAGCTGAGCAAAGTGTGATTAAATCCATTTGAGTCTGGAGACAAATGTGCTTTTTTTATTGCCCCCCGTATGTTTGTACTTCAATATTAATGCGGGCTTATCGTTAGTGAAGTTGACGTTGGAATAGTTGTTTTTCGTCTTCCTTGAAGGCCGAGTTCACCTTCTTTGGTCATTGTACAATACCGCCCCTAATTTTTGTTCAATCGCCGAAATGTGAGACAACTTTCCGTAGCAAAGCGTCGTTTTGCTGTAACTTTTGAAGGAATGGTCCAAATGATCTGAAAATAAGAAAAATGGATAGCCTAGATCATGCGGAATTCAATGGACTAAGGAACTCCTACTTTTGTTCAGTGCTTCAACTTCATTTTCGAGGAATTCAGTGCTTGAGTCTCTACTTGCCAATAGCAGTACCTGCGGACATCACCCTGTCGTAAACCCTCCAGTTCGATTAGAAGTTTCGGTTTCAATCTCCAAAAGCCATCAATATCAGCATTTTCGAAGAGCTTATGATTCCGTGATCATATTGGTATCCTTTTTGGTAGGTGTTAAACAAATTTAAGCTGAAACATGAAAGATAATGATCGTTTTTCACCGAAATTCTAATTTTTCGCTTTTCACTAAAGAAGGGCACATGCGTGGAAGGCAGATCAGATTTTTGCAAAAAGTTCAGTTCTACACGTTCCGTATTCTTTCATTTGCAAATTTCTGAATCTCAAATGTCAACGAGATTCAGGGTGGAAATCACTTTTCACCCCCATTCGTTTATTGCAAAACGAACAGAAAGGTATCCTTGAGGTTGACATGACAATTGATGCTCATATGCTCGTGTACTGATTTCCGAACGAATTGCTTATCCTTCCTACCACTTCCATTGCGCCAATCCTCCTACAGTCGGTCCCTCGATGGCTGACCTTTCTTCAATTAGCTAAACGAGCCACGTGCCATCGATCTGATTGCCCCAGTAGTATCTGCTCGTTTAACACACATGCGCTTTCTAACATCAGAACATTTATCGAGAGGTGGAAAATTATGATAGCCTTCCTTTCCAATTGTTTATATTAAACATTTTAATTCTCAGTGCTCTTTGTTTGATATTCATTTGTAGTCAGAAGGCATAAGATTTTTTTGAGATCCTTCACTAGTAAAAAGTGCTCATATACCAGATAGAGAAATACAAATTTTCATTGTCGGCCAGTTCTAGAAAGTCCTTATAGTGGAGGGGTAGATGTTTTAATTAATTTGATCAACTCTTCAGTATACGTACTGATTAGTGCCACAAAGGCATTTTGGATGAGTGTTGGATTTACGCAATGACCAACTGCAGCATTTGTAGCATCAGAAGAGCATGTCATAATCTCCATGTAGCTTTCTGAAGAACTATTATGTGTTAGAACGCAAACCTAAGAGATGCCATGTCATCGCAGGATGCGGATTAATGTAGTGTCGCAGCCAACTTGTCTAGCTACTTCAAGAGTTCAGCCGGGCACGCCTAGGCGGAGCACTTACGTCATAAAACCGACGTAAACTGTGAGAAGTACTGAGAATTGGAAGGTTTAATATAAACAAGCAATAATTTCCTGATATAAATGTTCTGATGTTTAGAAAGCACATGTGTGTTAAACGAGCAGATACTACTGGGGCAATCAGATCGATGGCACGTGGCTCGTTTAGCTAATTGAAGAAAGGTCAGCCATCGAGGGACCGACTGTAGGAGGATTGGCGCAATGGAAGTGGTAGGAAGGATAAGCAATTCGTTCGGAAATCAGTACACGAGCATATGAGCATCAATTGTCATGTCAACCTCAAGGATACCTTTCTGTTCGTTTTGCAATAAACGAATGGGGTGAAAAGTGATTTCCACCCTGAATCTCGTTGACATTTGAGATTCAGAAATTTGCAAATGAAAGAATACGGAACTGTAGAACTGAACTTTTTGCAAAAATCTGATCTGCCCTTCCATGCGTGCCCTACTTTAGTGAGAAGCGAAAAATTAGGAGTTTCTCGATCGCTGAGATGAAACGAATGTTCATATCATCATATGCTTCTCATGCTTTAAAAGTTTGATTTAACACCTACCAATCAAAGAGTATACTAATATATCACGGAATAATAAGCTTTCTCGAAAATTGCGGATTATTTATGGCTTGTATGGAATTTGAAACCGATAACTTCTATCGATAATAGCTGGGGTGTTTTACAGCAGTGGGATATAGAGGTATGCTATTGGCATGCGGAGGTAGGCGAAGGACCTCGTGTGCAGCACTAGTGCTTCGAAACATGGACGCTAGTTGACGCACGATGAAACAAAATAGGTAGGAGGTCCTTTAGTTCGAGATGGCATATCTCAACATGATCCTCGCTCAGTCCAGCTTTTCTATATATTTCAGATCATATCAGCCGATTCTGGTTTCAGATGTTAAGCAACGACGCTTTGCAGCGGAAGGCTTGATGCCTCAGCGATTTCGGGCTATCTCTTGAACCAAAAATTAGGGCGATTATTGTATGAGAATCAGAGTATGCTAGCCATTTCAGCTAAGTTCTGTATCGATCATGTAGACACGTGATTTATATGTACTAGTGCCATAAAATATGAATATGTATAGCGGTCGGATGCACGTTAACCTATGTATTGGGGTATAGTTCAGGTTCTAGGCGATGCTGCTCTTCATTACACCAAGGTAGCTTTCCAGTGCTATACTCACCGCCAGGGATAACAAAACGTGAGAGTCATAGCGTTATTTCATGCGATGACAATAAATAAATCAAGAGTAACTGTTTTTCGTATCGGTCTCACGCATGCATCAGCACACGAGGAAAATTATTCTTAGTAGCCACAATGCTGAACAAGCCACAGTTGCTCGGAAAGCGATCAAAAGTATTGCCGATGCGGTCTATGACCTATAGGAATGGAAACCAACCTGCCTTTGTAGAACATTCCTCGCTATACTCCGATCCGAAAAGGCGTCACAGTACATTACCATAGTCAGAGGCGCTAGTCAATTGTTTCTGTTCTAAGAATCTGTAGGGGCAATGGCGCGAATCCCGCTCAGAAGATCAGCGGGTCATGTGAATTTGAATTTTGAAAGTTTTTTTAATGCTACCTCTTACTACTGGTGCAGCAATTAGAGCAACCGAATTCACGGTACCCCCAGGAGGCCCGTCGCGCGGCAAGAAGGCAGAGTCGGCGGACGAGTTGCAGCGCGTGGTGTGCGATGTAGGACGTGCAGTGGGACACTCTATTTAACTTGACGCGAAATCCCTATAGTACGCGCGCGACTCGTCCGCTGACTTTGCCTTCTTGCCGCGCGACGGGCCTCCTGGGGGTACCCCCGAATTCACTGTCGAGTGCGTGACCTCCACATTTTCTAGCAAATTTTCGACTCTTCTACGTTTTTCAGAGAGATGCCGATCGATTACTGGCTTTAGCCCGAAAACTGCAGACTCCAACTAAGGCAGAGCAAATCGCAGCAGGAGGACCACATGCAGACAACGAAGCGAATGTTTCTGCTTGGAATGTCTGAGCAGCAGTTTTATGGATTAAAAAAATTACTTCTACGACTGTGACTGATTACGTGTCTTTGTTGGATTTCTTTTCGACGTTTGTTGTTCATTAATGAAGATTTCATTGAGTTCTGTAAAAATCTTATGGAAATCACATTAAAATGATGGCTTGAGTTCAAAAGCATTAGATTGCATTCATAATGAATCGAAGCCACTTTGAAGACCTAAGGACGACGTCAAGTTTTGTCGCCGTAGAAAGTCTTGTAGCGGCTATGAGGTTTAACAGAAGTTGAGGATTTGATTGGAAGACATGGGATGAAACGTTGATCTGCGTTGAGATGAGGTCCAATCCTTCTACAGGAATTCATTTGACGAACTTCAGTGGGCTCGCAATCCTAGGCAATAGGGCATAATAAGCTGCTTCAGACCAATTGTTTTTAGAGGCAAACCCCGGGATTCGAATTAGTGCTATTAGCGCTTGCGGTGATAGCTTAGCTGCGGAACGACCTGAAAGTGGGAAGGAAAGCAAGAGAATCTTTGGAACGCTGAAACTAAGGCCTTAACCCATAAGGTCGGATGTGGTACGATGGCGAGACAGGGCGGTCAAAGAAGACAAAATACGCGAGAGAGCACGCTGATTTCTACATCAATGCACGCTGATCTCACCATCTCGCGGTGGGTGGGAAGTTTGGAATCGGGAT